CTGGGAAAAGAGAAGATGAAATTGTAATATAAAGGAGGAGAGAGGAGAATAAGTCGTCGCTGAAAACAATACCAATCTCCTTTTTTCATATTCTCACCTTTCTTTCTTCCTTCCCGCGGCTTTCCCAACAGAAATACCTAAACTAAATTAGTAAATTTAAAAATATATTTATGAGAAATTAAGGACAAAGACCCAAAAAAAAAAAAAAAGTGGAGCATGACAAAAGCTCTTCTTGCCTTTTCACCTCCAAATTTTTTAATTGAAGAATCGAATTATTGGCAGAATATTTTTTTTAGCTAAAACAATTATTAGTCTTTTATATAAAATTGCGTTGTCCACCAAAAATAAATACCAGTCAAGACTATGTATATCATCATTAAATAAAGTCTAGATATTTTATGTTTTAGCTAGTTGTGAATTTTATATATTGATGTTAAAAAAAAAACAAATTTCCGTGCTGAAGTTTTGACCTTTCTCTGTTTATTTCTAGTAGAATACTAGAATCTAGCAAGCAATAAGGTTTTGTCATAAAAAATTACTAGAGAAACTCGTCAACTATTCGGCAAGAATGTGGGCTATTAGCCTATTACTATATATAGTGTTCTAGGATCGCAAATGGCTGGCGAATTAATTAAATAAAAAAACTCGTCAACAATTCTTTAAGAATGTTACTTTCCAACTTAAAACAAACACGCTAGTGATCGTCAAAATAGACAAATACTAGAAGGCTAACAAAGATTTATACAATATAAAGTTTGTTCAATATCACAATAATAACAATTAACAATAGTAGGTCGAATAAATCAAACAAGGAGAATGGAAAATGTTAAATGTTTTCCTCAATTTCCTTTCAATTTTGTAGTAAATTTTCCAACTATGTTTCAAACAAAAAAAACAATAAACAATAGTTGAGAGTTTTTGTTTGTCTATGAATAATAGTATTTGGGAGTTACAAGAAATCATTACAAACTATAAATAAAATAGCTACCAAATAAACACAAATTAAAGTACAAATGAAACTCAATATGTGAAGCTTTCATAAGAGCATCTCCAATGGTGAGCTTGCTTAAGGGGTTCTAAACATTTTTTATTATTAAATTAATCTAAGAATCTCTCATACTTTTTTGTTAAATTTGCTACATTCATTGGTGATTTTTAAGAACATAAACTTATCAAATTTACTATAATTTTTTTCATAATTGAACAAAAAAAAATACATAATCCTCAAGTTCTACAAGTGAACAAAAAAGAACTCATGATCCTCAACTAGCACCGTTTTTTCCTAACCGCTCTTTGCCGCCAGACATGATATTGGGGACACATAGCTAACCGGCCATATTGATAACATGACCATATTCAACCTCAAATTAAACGATAGTTGAATTTTCATTTTAAAAATATTTGACACGGGGTTCAAAACAAAACTATGCGATTGGTCGGGAATTTGCACGTGCATACTTTTTTTTGGACCATTAACTATTCATTTATAAAGAAAAACAGAAAAACGACCTCCAAGCATCGAACCGGAGACCTACACACTCAAAAGAAGGACGACAACCAGCTGAACTAAAGACAAATTTTGCATAATAAATGACCCCTAAATTTAATAAAGTCTTCTCCGGCCTCAAACACGTGCTTCACCAGCTTGTAGTCAGAGCCGGCTATAGTTTATAGAAGTGAGTCAAGTGACCCTGTGTCAAAAAGAAAAATTTTAAAGTACAAATTATCTATGTGTGATAAATATCTTGAATGTCATGAAAGATCTAAAATATAATATTGTGGCAATGGTATACGTATAAATAACAAAAATAGTATCACGTGCATAACTTTATGTAATCGACCAAAATTTGATAAAGTGTAATGTTTGGTTGGGTGAATGAGCTCGGAATGAGCTGAAATCTTGCAGACTTCTTTTGGACTCTTGTTAATAGTCTTTGTAAGAAGAAGGATGAGGTTTAAGAGCGAGCTTAGTCGAGCAAGGATAATTTTGGATTGCAGTTTCAATAAGAATTTGTAATTCAAGCTATCTTCAAACTTTTAACCCATTAGCATTGTAGGATAAAT